TCTTCCCCTAAAAGGCTGTGGACGCTGGATCCATTCACATTTTCAAGACGGAGATGGATGTTAGATCAGGGTATTAAGGGATACGGGGCAAGGGTAAGATATTGGACTTGAGGTACAGATCAGCCGTGATCTTATGGAAGGGTGGAACAGGCTCGAGGGGCTGAATGGCCTCCTCCTGATTCTATGTTTCTATATTTTGTGTCTTCATGCAACCAACTTCATTTTACCGGAATCAGTCATGTTCACAACGTTCCTAAGTTGAGACTTACAGCAGAAAAGGTTGAGGGGGGGGTTTAATAGAGGTGTCCAAAATTATGAGGGGTGTTGGTTGAGCGAAACCGTTTCCTCTGGCAGGTGGGTCGGTAACAAGGGGACACAGATTGAAGATAATTGGCCAAACAAAACGGAGGGACGACGAGGAGACATTTTCTCCATTTTACTGAGAGTATGATACCAATGCAAGTTGCTGCATTTTGGTTCAATCTCAGCCTCCACAGTGTTTATAAAGTAAGTGCCTTTGAGAGCTGTGTACCACTACCTCAGAGATCAGAATATCTATCTTGATGTAGTTGATTTATGAAAGGGCACTCTCAGGAAGGAGCCAAAGGATTTATCGTCCAGCCAGTTTCAGCCTTCACTTAGCTACAACAACAACAACAACAAGATTCCATTTATAAAGCGCCTTTCACGTCAGGAGGACGTCGGAGCTACGCCCGATTCCAAACCTGTTCACGTCCCGATGGAAATCTTACCAGGACATTCCTTTTATAGATGCCTGACTCAGGTTGATGCCAGTGCTGTCGTGGGGGTTGCAAGTGGATGCTTTTCAGACGTTTCGAAGCGATGCACGTGTTTTCGAATTTAAGATCAGACTTAATAATATTAATCATAATAAGACATGGTAAGGAAAGTAACATCTGTCCCTATGTAATGTGACAGTGTTACAGGTCTGGCTGACCCATCGCTGATATCACTTTGAAACCACTTGATGTATTTTGCCCACAAAATACACATGTATTTCGCCCACAAGTCAATTCACTCTACAGTATATCCTGTGAAATGCTTTGAGAGATCTCACAAGAAGAACACAATAATAATAGCAATAATATTCCTTGCATTTGGTGTAGCGCCTTCTCAGGTCATCGAACCATCCCAAAAGCGTGTCACAGGATTTACTGTAAAGAGTAACGACTGGGTATTTTGTAGGTGACGCAGAGGCCAATTGGCGCCCAGCAACTGGCCACAAACAGCCACAAAGTGAATGGTCCATTTTATCTGGGTTTTGTATCCCTAAAAAATTCAGTGATCACCCAATCCACGACTGTTTGTGGGACGCTGCTATGTGCAATTGGCTGCCGCGATTCGCCCACAAAATACACAGTCAATTCACTTTACCGTGAAGCGCTTTGAGACGTTTCGAAGACGTGATAAGGCGCTGTATCAAATACAAGGATTATTATTGTTGTTATGTTACTCCAGAGCCTCAGCAATCAGTTTATACCCTGGATGGGGAGATGGGGTGAAACGGTGAACACATCCCTTCGGATTCTCACAAAGTGAAGTAAAAACAGGAGCATGGAATGGTCTAAATAGAACAGTTGCTCTAAGTTAGCCCAACAATATGAGTGGGTTAGGTGCAGTATATCAAGTGCAAGGAATATTATCAAATGGGGAGGTGACTCACACAATTATGGCACTGAGGGAGTATGATGCTCAGGTGTTTTGTTATAGCAAACAAAGGAGATGAGAGGGAATGTGAATTTGCTGCTTGGGGAAATCTTAAATGCCCACTCTATTTACTTAGCGTGTTTGATGAAACCCACGGAGCTGCAGAGAACAGCTTATATCTTCATTTCTTTCCTTTAGTTAGAGTCAGCTCCGGTGGAAATTCATTTCCTATTTCCGAATGTAAATAACGAAAATTGGACATTCGGAGTTCCACTCGTGTTCAGGGTCGCGAGGGACAGGTCCAGAATACGCTATGTAGTTGTGGGGCTGATCAACAGCCCGACTGAGGCACCAGCAAGGGTGATTGAGGCCAATACGCTCGACCCATTTTCAGAAATAATTCCTCTAATGGGAAGGATCTGTATTACAGTGAGCAAATGAGCACGTCTCAACAACAACAACAACAACTTTGACTGTAGGGAGGAGGTGGACGAGTTAGAGGGAGTCTGGGATGGAAATCCAGAGAACAGGCGCAGGATGGCATTGCAGGGTAAAGATTTGAGCAGCCGCAGACTGGTAGAACATTCAACTCCAGCTAATATCTGCAAGTGATCTCTTGCCATCAGTCTTTGGGTGGAAGGAGAACAGGAAAGCTGGTTGCTGAGTTGAATGAGTTTTAGCCTCTTGTATTTAACATTTGTACAGTCTAATGCTGCTTGGACACATTTAGTTACATTTATTAAGCAGCGCGGAAACCCATTACGGTTTAAAAAGCATTAGTTGATAATAAATATATTTCACTTTGGGAGGACGTCTCAATGTCTATTAAGTGCCAGGAATGGACTTGCACTGTGCGATTTATAGATATCGGGTATTTGCTTGTGCAGTAATATACGGGGTGAAAATCGCACTGTGCAATGCATCTTTTGTAAGAACTTAATACTTTAATTGAAGAAAAAAGGACCGGTTGTTGATTAGCACATAAATGTGTCCAAGTGGAGTCCTGTAGCTCAGTGGTTAGAACACTCGCTTTGCAAGTGAGAGACCTGAGTTCAATTCCAGGCAGTGGGCGAAACCTTGGGCAAGTTTCCTTACTCCACACAGAGCCTAATAATAATCCCTCCAAAAACCAAAAACAATAATAAATTGGTCATTTTCAATCTACGACTGTTTGTGGGACATTGCTGTGCGCAATTGGCTGCCGCGTTCGCCCACAAATATACAGTCAATTCACTTTACAGTGTGTTCTGTGAAGCGCTTTGGGGCGTCCTCCCGACGTGAAAAGCGCTATATCAAATGCAAGGATTATTATTATTATTATTAAGTGTGTTGGGAATGGGCCCAACCCACCGATCCTCCAACATTCTTCACAATGGTTATGCCCAGAATCTGGCTGTAATAATAATAATTCTCGCATTTTGATATAGAATTATTACCCCCAGACAAGCGATCCACCAGTCGACTAACAACCGGGTTCCTACTTACCGCAGGGTAAACAGAGGCGTGTGGAACAAGGAAACTTGCACAACATCTCGCCCTGCCCGGGAATCGAACCCAAGTCTCCTGCTTGCAAGCCGAGGGCTCTCACCACTGTTGTGAAAATTGTGGCCGCACAGATCTCAGCGTTCCCCACCAAACTGCAGCCCAGTGTGTGGCCAGAGTCTGACACAAAGATAATGAAGCATGTCGCGAAACAGCAACATACTCGCCCCGGGGTCCTGTCAATGGCTCGTCATACACTGGTCACTTTACAAATCAACGTACGTGTTAATTAGCATCATAGGTGTTTAATTAAAATATCTGGCAAGTCACATATTTCCTGCCAAAGGTGAAATCCCATGGCTGAATCCATAAGTGGCCCAGTGTTTAATTAAACAACTCTTTCACATAGGCAATATTGTTTCTGTTGCAAAAGGAACCTTCTGACAACATTTTCTGGTTAGTTTTCGGCGAACTTGCAATCAGTTTGGAGTCCGACAGCAACAACAACAACTTGCATTGGCACAGCATCCATCACATTGGGGAAAATCACGGAGTGCTTAACCTCGCCGGGTCGGGGAGAAAGTGGTGCTGAGTGTAGGCACGGTCGAAGAGGAAGATGTTTAGGTGTGATACAATACAATACGAAATTACATATGTATGTAAGGTCAAGGTGCTGGACAGTCAGGGATTTGGAACTGAGCTGGGAGTTGGGATCAGGAGGGGTGGAAGGTGGGGAGGGGAGGTGAAGGAGGGTGGCCGAAGGCACAGGCGGTCGAAGAAGAGGGCCTTGCGCCATGCCTTGATCTGATCTGAAAAGAGAGAGCAATGAGTGGGGGGGCAAGGCGGAGGGATTGAGGGAGGGAGGGAGGGAAGGAATACTTAGCTTTATGTGTATTTCCCAAAGACTTGTGCCAACAATGGCAAATTGCATTTGTGTAGCGCCTTTCATGTCAGGAGGACGTTCACAAAGCTCTGACTTATCTGCTGAGATCATAATTGCAATCACCAAGCTCATAACAGTTGGTATGCTGCTCGCTCTGCTGTCTGGGTCATCCTAAGCAGTCAATGCGCTAATCAACGACTGATCACTCTTATCAACGCTTGTGTTAATTAGCATCATAGTTGTTAATTAAAACATCTACTTGTCATCATTTCCTGCCAAAGCCTGTGCCAGTGAATATGTGAAAGAAGTTTCTCGGAGGCTCACATGGGACATTCGGATTTAGAAAACCCTTCAGCCTATTTAATTCCTTCCTCTCATAGTTACACCCGACCCTCATCCCTTCATGGCACCAAGCTATTTGCATGTTTTGCCTTTGGTTTAACAAATATAGGTTTAGAAGAGTCTGTGTGTTGTTGCTTCGGATGTCCTTTGGATGAGATGTAAAAGTGCCTGTGACCCATTCAGGTGAATGTTAACAATCCCATGGCGCTATTCGAAAAAAGAAGAGAGTTTCTCCCTGAATGTCCGGGTTGACAATTCTCCCCCGGCTGTTTGTGGAGACATCTCTGTGTCCAAATTGACTGCTGCATTCACCTACAAATACACGCACTGCACTTCACAGTAGTTCCTGTGAAGCACTTTGAGGTATTTCAACGACATGGGGAGGGGATAAGGAGGTGCGGGATGGAGTGCAAGGACAAGTACATTATAACGATAACACAGACAATATTAAAGATTACTGTTCCCTCCTCATCTGGGGTGTTTGCAGTCAGTGAGGTAATTGTGGTCTGGTTGCGAGTTCATTGTCTCGATGGTTTATCAGCGGTTTCCATGACTTGACAGCACCCTTGTGCAACCGTCCTTCAGCGTGGAACTTAATACTGTTTCTGTTTTCTTATTGACACAGAGAATGGCAAGCTTCATGGACCAGCCTTCATCCTTGAGCCAAATGACGCTGTGTTCCCTGTGGATTTAACAGAGAAGAAGGCAATGCTGAACTGCGAAGCAAGAGGAAACCCAGCACCACATTACAGGTCAGGTTACTGCACTGTCTCCGTCAATAGGTTTTGACTGGAAAAGCTAGTTGGTGTCTCCTTTAAAAGGGTCAACAAGATGTGAGATGATTTGTGTATGCATGTGTTGCTGGGGGATGGATAACAGCACCATTAAATGCTACAGCTGTAAGTAATTATTCAATAAGGATTAAAAAGAGCGCCAAGCTTGGGATCAGACTTAATGGATAACTAATTAACATGGGTTCAGGCGTACTGCCCTTTCTAACTATTTGACGTCTGCCATGATTTTTACTGGCACTTTATGGAAATTTTCACCATCGCTTAATGCAGTGCCACAGAGGGGCTCCTGACCACTGGTCACTGCGTCAATAACTAGAGGGCAACCCAGTTAAAATCATCAACAAAGAAAATAAGGGAGAGGTTCGAGAGTTTTTTTTTAACACACACACGGAAGGTTATTAGGGCGACAGAGAGGTGAGAGACAGGTCTCAACGAGAAAAAGAGAGTGGAACGTGAAAATAAACAGCGAGAGAGAGAGAGAGAGAGATCACAAAAGCACGAGAAAGGAAAAAGAGAGAAGAAAGCATAGAGTGCGAGAGGAAGAAGAGTGAGAGAGAGGGAGGGAGAGAGAGGAGGGTGGGAGAGGCAGTGGATTTTCTTACGATAAAAGATTCCTGTTAACCTGCCTTCAGGTTCCTCTTAACCTGTAGCGTCTGGGAGCCAAGCGCTCGGGGGCGCTACCCGCGCGAAGGGCGCTATCTAAACGCAAGTCGTCGCTGTTGCCTTGAAAATGTTTTCGACTGCACCTTCGATGACCATCTCACAAGCCCTCCCTCACCCGCCCCAGCTCGGGCTCTTCGTTCGAGGGCTGTGAGACGCCCAGCGGAACGCTTTCGAGACGTTTCCCCCTGACGCGAAAAGCGCTGCGCGTCCAACGTAAATTGATGCGGTCGAAACAGTTCATTCATTCTGCGGCGTGGTGAAATCGGTGAACTTCTCAGGAGAGAAGCAGAAGCGAAGGCACAAACTGCTGCGACGCAGGTGATCCCAAGTGAATTACTGTGATGCCGAGTGATCACAAGTAGGACTTAATGTCCCGAAAATAACTCGGGCAAAAAAAAAAAAATTAATCACCCAAAGGATAATCCCTGGACGCACATCGGAGACATGTGATCTCATGTGAAGATGAATGTCTCCCGTATTGTAATGCGATGTGTTTCTCAATAGGCCCCTTTCTTTCGCACTACTATTGATCGGGAAAATAGGACGGGGCTTTACTCTGCCATTAAAAATGATCGATGACAAAGCGCTCGTGTGAAAGATTCTTCCAGCAAAACCAACAAATCGATCCGTTTAATGTCACTGCGGTCTATCGCCGCGGACTTTCACCATTTTGATTTCTCCCAATAAAATGATACAGGCTTCGTAATTTATTTTTAAGTCGCTTTTTTTTAATAAAGGGCGAGCTCTCCTACCCCCACCCCCCCTCTGTGATCCTTATAATCCTTGCATTTGATACAACTTTGTGGGTGTTTGTGGGACTTTGCTGTGAGCAAATTGCCTGCCACGTTACCCGTCAAGAAAATACAGCCACTGCACCTTACAGTGAAGCGTTTTGAGTTATCCCCTCGACTTGAATGGCACTGCCTCGAATGCGAGGATTATTATTACTTTATTATTTTCATAAATTTGCTGTTTACACAGCAGGCCTGAGTGGGGACGCAAGCAGGAGAGTGAAAGTAAGAGCGTGGGTTGGAACTGAACAGGTGTGTTGTGAGAATTCATCGGGATTAGACATCAGCAGAACAAGATAGATTAATAACTGATAATACACTCGGAGCTTCTCATTCCATTCTGTCGTTCTTATCTCGAGATCAGGGCTCATTAGAAGAATCGGGACTCAATAATAGGTCTCTGAATTATGGATGTAATGTGTGACGTGATCATGAAGATATATTAATGCAAAGTAATTTAATTTAGCCTCGCGGAAATCAAGTGCTTTATCACATAAGGAATTAAATGCCTTGTTTGTGGCGACAGCTAGTACCATGCTTCCCCACACTGGGAGCTACTGCTCTCAGGTGAATACAGCAGAGACCCGAATAGCTGCTTTGAGATTGGCTCCCATTGTGGATAAGCAGATTGTGCCGATAATTGGACACAAACTGCAAATTCCTGCGAGGAGTTATCATTATAAGAATCCTTACATTTGGTACAGCACTTTCATGACGTCTCAAAGCGCTTCATGGGATTTACTGTCCAGCGTAGTGACTGTAGATTTTGCAGACAAATGCAGCAGTCAATTGGCGCACAGCAGTAAAATAAACAATACCTTTGCATTTGGTCCAGACCATTTCACGTCGGGAGGACGACCCAAAGCCCATCACAGGATATGCGGTGAAGTGGAGTGACTGTGCGTTTGTGAGCGAACGTGGCAGCCAACTTGCACACAATAATGTCCAAAAAAAGCCATGAAGCAAATGACCAAATGAGGGGGGCTGTTGACCAGGACACCGGGAGAAACCCCCTTCTCTTTTCGAACTGTGCTGTGGGGCTTTAAACATCCACCCAAACTGGCGGATGAGACCTCAGGTTAACTTGTTATCTGAAGAACGGCACCTCTGACAATGCAGTGCTTACCCCAGGCCCTGTACAGGTTCTTCAGCCTCGACTATGTGAGGTTTAAGCCCAGGAATGGGACCTTGAACCCAGCCGCCTGTGACTCAAAGGTCAGAGTCAGGTTGACACCTGAATCATGATGTGAAACAATAAGGTCATATTCTTTAAAAAGTTAGCGTCCTGCATCGAAAGTGCCCGTACAACTGTGCGAAGAGAGGAAAAAGATGACAAATCTTCGGAGTGGGACTTTGTTATAAAAATCATTGAGACGAATTCTTCGATCATTAATCCTACCATTTACCTGTGTTTTTTAAACCACAAGAATGATGTTGTCTAATATCCACAAGCAAGTTAGCATCTCACAGATCCATCATGTTTTATAATGCGACCCGTGGCATGCGCTGTAAACAAAGGGCACACTACACTGATCTTACAATCATTTTGTGCGGTGACAGTGACACATTAGCTTCAGGTTTTTATATGTCGCAAAGCTCGGAATAATTCAAACAAACCAGAAGCGCAATTTGCTTCAATAAAGCGGTTCCGGTGATTAAAATCAAATCTTTACGCACTTTCTCGGCAAGTATTCAGAAAAGATAATATCATTTAATTTTGAGTAACGTGGCTTAAGAAATTTGAATTATTTTGCCCCGACACTTTGAATTTATTTGAAAGAGGCGCTATCGGTAATTTTCAATTACGCGAACTAAATAATTAATATTCACCGTGTAACACCCTCTTGTATGAATGTCATTAATACAATTAGATTTTATGAGCTGCTGTAATTAAAACAAATTATCCTTCTCTGCGATATGAAAAAAAATTACATGAATCGCATCTCATCAAAAGGGCACGAGACGCGAGAGGTTGCAAAATTAGTTCAAGTAAATGTTGCACATTGCCCGGGCTCCTCCGTTTCCTTTTTTGCAGGTAAGTTATTTTTAGAGATGGATTTAAATTTAATGGGAATCCAAATTGCAAACTGTGCAGCTTTAATGCAGCATGAATTGGCGCTAATTGGGTAATCTGGCTGTGTGAGGCTGGCTGGATCATAAGGGGAAATGGAATGTCACTCTGGCACAGTGGGTGTTCGGATATACCTGAACGGAGCTCAATATTGCCTGGTCAGACGGTAGCAGCCTGGTATTCACCTGGCTCTGTAGGTGGCACATTCTCTCCCACTCCCGCCCCCCCACCCCTCCCCCAAAGATAAATTGGTCATTTACTTTGTGGCTGGGTTTGTGGGACATCGCTGTGCGAATACACATTCGACTGCAAATACACAGTCACTGCACTTTACAACGACTACTTAAGACTACTTGACCGTGCCTTCGGCCACCCTCCTCCCCACCACGCCCTAATCCCACCCCGCTCGGGTCCAAATCTCTGAGCGTCCTCCCGACGCGAAAGGTGCTATGCAAATGTAATTTGGGATTGTATTGAGAGGTGTTGATGTTATTTGATGCAGAAGCTCCTCAGCGCAGCTGCTTTACGCCAGCAACAACCTCGCCCACAGCAATGCTACATCTGGAGTTGCTTTGTAGAACGGAAATAGGGTTGCAGATAGAGTGCCATGAAAGGTACTTTAATTCCAACACCAATTCTCTCATAATTAACTAACTGCAGGCCACAAGCTGGGAGACATTTGATTTTGCATTTGATGAAAGAACTCTGCATGGGTAAGCAAGACACATCACTGATACACCGGGCAGGCTGCCACATCGTAAAGCTTTGTTTTTAACCTTGGCCATAAGTCTAACCTTCATCTGTCTCCCATCTAAACTCAATCTCTCCCCCACTGTAAGTCTGAACTCCATCTTTCTCCTTCGGAAGTCGAACATCAATCTCTCTCGGTTGAAAGTCTCAACTCCATCTTAAATGTTTTAAAAACAGACATTTTTTAAAAAAAAAACTCCACAGAAAGTGGTGTGATACAGACTTGGACCCCTGATAGTTTTATAATGATGACAGCAATAAGTTGGATCCTCCTCATGTATGCAAAACCTCAAGGTGAGTTGCCAGTTTAATCAATCAGAAATCATTACGAGTCTTGTCAATCATAAAACCAGACCTATATAGCAAGGAAACATCTTGGTCATTGCTGAAATCTTGTGCTGTGCACATGAAGTATATTATTCTTCATTATGTTATGATTGAGTGCTCCTCATTCCTCACAATAAATCCAGTTTGATATGGTGCTGCCTGCAAAGGTCTAGAATAATAGGTAATAAAAATAATAATCCTTGCGATTGCGTTTGATACAGCACCTTTCATGTCGAGCGAATGTTATCAAAGCGCTTCACAGGACTTATTGTAAAGCGCAGTGACATTTTGCCTACAAAATACTCAATCAATTCCCTTTACAATATATTCTGTGAAGCTCTTTGAGACATCTCGAAGACGTGATAAGGCGCTATATAAAATTGCAAGGATTGTTATTATTTATAGGACAGGCGAGCGTAGCAGCACTGAACAGGTACTTCCACATATATTTCAGACTGACTTATGCTCCTCTCCCCTCCCGATCCAGAGTACTGCAGACGTAAACAAGACCATCCCTGTACCACTTCCATTGAGTCACTGGTGTCAAACTCAGCCACTGCAGATCTGGAAGGTCACAGGCTTGACCATCCGTATAGTTGGCTTGAACGCCACAGGCTTCGGGAGGAGAATGAATCAAACAGCGTGCGTGCACCTGATCATGATTTCAACTGGAATGTGCACAGGTGTGAAGCAAATACCGTGACGCTTCTCACCGTTGCCTCATTCTGAATTGGAAAGTACCCCCCCGTCAGCTTCCAAGTGGGAACGTCATCTGACGTGAGCAGTGAGGTTTCACGATCACAGCTTGTGTGCGTGGTGGGGGAGTAACACACAGTACAACAACAACAACAACTTGGATTTATATAGCGCCCTCCGCGCCGGACGGCATCTCAGAGCGCTTCACAGGACTGACGCCGACACCCACCCAACCTGTTTGTCTTGACATGTCGAGGGATTGGATGAGTAAACCGATGGCGCTTGTGGTGGGGTTGTTAGTGCTTAGGTTGTGATATCTGTGAGTGACGGTGTGTCACAACAGAGAGAGAAAGAGCGAGGCAGAGAACACAAAGGGTTTACGTGTACTTTATGTGTGTTATTCATTTGTACTTGGCAGCAGACATTTTTTTGGGGGCGAGACTTGGCAATGAATTATGAGGGAAGGCATGAAGTGAGGAGTGAGGTTTCGCGTTGAGTGCAGCTCAGAGCGTAGAGTAAGGACACACACACCCATGAGCTTGAGAATCACGAAAATGCAGCAAAGGTTAAAAAAAAGAAAACTAACCCGAATGAGAAACCGAGAGAGAAAAGAGGGAACTCGCACAAGTGATAGTGAACGTTCGAAATTACAGGGTTTGTCAGGCTGGATCTATTCACATTTTCGAGACTTGAGGTGGATAGATACTTGTTAGGTCAGGGTATTAAGGGATATGAGGCAAGGGCGGGTAATTAGACTTGAGGTACAGATCAGCCATGATCTTATAGAATGGCGAAACAGGCTCGAGGGGCTGAATGGCCTCCTCCTGTTTCTATGTTTCTACGTTGTTCTGCTCCTGCTTGATATTATTTCTGTGACACCGAAGAGGTTGTTCAATTACGATGCAGCCGTTTGTCTCAAAAGTAATGCCGAACAGTGATGGTCCTCTTTAGATTCCAGAGCTAACTTTAATAGCTGGCAATCGATGTGTGCAGCAAGCCACGCCTTGACGCTATTAAATGAAGGTTCGCTGGAGCATTCAAATGAAAAAAACAATTTCTCCGAAAAGATTGATGTCTTAACTAAATCGAGACAGCAATGAGGTTGTCGATGCAAAAGTTCAGTGGTCACGGGCAGCACTTATCCACGTCCCAACTGCTCGTTCTTCATTGAACCATTTCTCCACTAGACTGGAAATAATCTGAATATAATAATAATAATCATTTGGTCACTTAATCCATGACTGTTTGTGGGACGTTGCTGTGCTCAATTGGTTGCCGCGTTTCACCCACAAAGCACACAGTCACTAAACTTTACAGTATATTTCTATGAAGCGCTTGAAGACGTCTCAAAGACGCAATAAGACCCTCTGTCAAATGCAAGGATTCTTGTTATTATTAGATGTTTCTGTGGTTCTCTGGAGAATAATACATTCTGTGTTGTCTTGCAGGTGGCAAAGAAACGGATCGGACATCAACATAAACTTGGATTACCGCTACAGTTTGGTCGGAGGGAGCCTGCTGATAACTAACCCGATTAAAAGCCAGGACTATGGAACGTACCAGTGCTTTGCAACCAATTCCTTAGGCACAATCATGAGCAAAGAAGCAAAGCTTCAGTTTGCATGTAAGTTTTCAGCTTTTTATTAGTATTATTATAATATTATTATTATTATTTTATCCCCACACAAAGGGCAAGAGATTCCACCCGGGTCTCGATCTGTCTTCTTAGTATTTAAGAATATGGCAAGTTTTCAAGAGGCTCTTGTAAGAGCTACAGAAAGGAAGGTAATTAATGACTGGAACAGGTTACCAGGAAGGATACTTGAGCCCAGGATTTTAATGTCGGCTTGTTGCTGTGACTGTTGAGTATTTTGGAAGGATGAGATCAGAATGTGTTGAACTAAACTTGTGATCGTGTGAACATGCTCTCCCAGGCTAAGACTAGGTGGAATTTCAGGCCTCGAGGCTCCTGCCGCTGCTGGTTTGGAGTGTGTAATTCAGGCTGCTTTATCGTTGGAAACAAAGATTAGGTTTAGGCGATTTCAGGACAGCCCTAATTTCTGCGAACCTGATGACGATGTTTACATTTGGTACAGCGCCTTTCATGTCAGAAGCACGTCCTAAAGCACTTCGCAGGATACGCTGTAAAGTGGAGTGACTGTATTTTGTAGGTGTACTTCCAGCTAACAGCAGGTACGCAAAACAGTTGGGTGAGATTGCGAGCAGCAGTAAACCTGCATCAGTATTTGACGTTCTGCTCAAAAATTGCGGAGTCGGTGTGGAAAACGAGCAGGAGACGTGCGTTACAAGACTGCAGTCATTATTTGGTGATTAATTGAGCAGCTGTTCCTCGTAATTATAGGTGTACTTAAAATGTACTTTTTTTTAAACACGCTCCCACTTTGCAGATGTAACTTTAATTGACGTGAGTGAACCGAAATATCAGAGAAGCTTGAGTCGCTGTGATCAGGCATTGAAAAATGTCAAGATATATTCATTACTTCTAGAAGGACATGGAGCACTTTTCACAGCCTGAATACATAAAATGAATGAGCGTTTTTTCCCAGTCCAAGCTGCTTAACACAAGGCAGTGTGCCACCATGCGGCAATGGTAATGACATTCGTTCTGGTCTGGTCTGTGTCTTACTTCACCCGTACTGATTGTCCCATTGGGTTCACTGAAGGTATCATGAGTGGGACGAAGGCGATCACTGAGTTCTGCAGGGTGACCAAAAAGTCTACGCTATTATCTATGTAAAAAAAACATCATTTCCTTAAGACTTATTAGACAGTGTAATGGGATCACGGCTGTTTGGACACCTTGTACAATGGAATATCGTTGGAGTCAAGTGGGATTCACTCATGAGATTTTCCAAGTGGGTAGGAATTCTGGAGATAGCTTACATCTGCTGCTAGGTTTTGGACAGGTGGAGTCTCGGGGTGGGGAGGGGAGGTTGTTTTGAGGCTTGTCTCACTGTCAGGACCTCTCAGGAGGCTAAGTAGACCTGGGAGCTCCTTCCAACCGTAACAACAACTTGCTTTTATGTTGCGTCTTAATGGGAGGGTAGCTTCTCGGAGCGCTGAATTGTGGCTCAGTTTGACGTTGAGCTGAGGAGAGAGGGGAGGTGACTGGAGGCACGGTCAAAGGGGAAAGTGTTCAGACTCGACCTGAAGACGAGCAAGGCACAGTCATCGAGTCAGGGAGTTCCAGACCTATAACTAAGATATGGGAAGTCTTTATGTCCAGATAAAGTTCTGAATAATTCTGCCGGGCTTTGCAAACATTGGCCAGTGGCTCCATTGAAATGTGGGACTATCACCATTCTAATCCAACCCATGCAGTCTGCTAGGACTCCAGAGGATCCTTTAATCCACAGTAGATCCTCACTCATGTTCAAATCCCTTCACTCTGTGATACCTCCCTACCACTCCGACCTCCTCACTCCCTACTCCACCACCTGACTGGCACCGACCTCCTGCTCGTCCCTCGCAGGCGCTCCACCATCGGAGATTGCGTTTTCAGCCACTACGCCCCGAAACTCTGGAACACTCTCCCTCAATCCCTCTGCCTTGCCCCCTCCTCTTTCTCAAGTCCTACCTGAAAACCTTCCTCTTTGACTGTGCTTACGGCCATCCCCCGAACCCCCGCCACTGTTAAGCGCCCTGAGACGCTGCCCTACATGGAGGGCACTATATAAGTGCAAGTTGTTGTTGTAAAACCTGTTTGCTTACCTCCCCCCCATTGATCTTTGCTCAGTCCCTCTCATGGCTGATGGCAGCTCAGCGCTATACAGCTCAATCCCTCGGGAACCTGTTACAAAGACAGCTTCGGGCAGTCCCTTTCGTGCTGAACAGCGTTAGCTCAGACATTCGCTCAGTTTACTTCGCAGCCTGAGTGTATTGCGAAGGCCAATAGCGGCTCCAAGAGAATCGTTGCTTTCATTGACTTTGTTAGATCCATTTTTTTTCCCCCTTTTGATCAGTCTGACATTTACGGAACCCATTGCAGTGCTTAAGAGTATCCGAACCAGACTGAGAATTCCGCATATTTACATCACCTACACACAAGAGATTTCCGCGTGTCTGGAATGGAGTGAGCGCTCCCTCGATTATATTGATTGTATTGCTATATTCTATTAATAGTGCATTGTCAGATACAGCAGAACTCTCACTCATGTCGATGATGACTTTTAATGGATGTGGCCTCTAACCCTTTGGTGGTTTTGAAGAAAGATAAACCGAGACTTTGTGCATTGAGTTATGTAGTCGAACACCATTTGAGTCATCGATCCTAATAATAATAATAATAATAATAATAATCCTTGCATTTGATATAGCGCTTTTCACATCTTCTAGACGTCTTAAAGCACTTCACAGAATAAACTGTAAAGTGAATTGACTGTATATTTGTGGGCGAAACGCAGCAGCCAATTGCACACAGCAGCGTCCCACAAACAGTCGTGGATTGAAAATGACCAATTTATTATTGTATTATTTTGGAGGGATTATTATTAGACGTGTGGGGTAAGGAAACTTGCCCAAGGTTTCACCCTGCCTGGAATTGAACCCAGGTATCTCGCTACCCAAGTGATCTTAATGCCCTCTCCTATACCCCTCTATTCCCCTCTCCCCCACTATTCCCCGCACCTACACCCCTCGATTCCCTTCTGCTTCATGTACACATCAAGTTTTCTCTTAAATAGATTGATGCTCTCTAGCTTATCTCACATGTAATTTAATGTAACACGTGATTCAGTCTGTTCACAAACCATTCACCTTAGTACAAACCAGTGTCTTGGCTGCTATTAAACACAGATGCCGCACAATCCGCTTCGTTGAAGAGCAAGTTCCATTCTTATTGACACGTTGGCATATTACGCATTGCATTCATGCTTAAAACATTCACAGAAGAGTATTTCGCCTTGAGACCAATGTCTCAGTATCCTCAGTTTCATTATCTTTGAGGCGTATTTTATGTTCCTTCAAAGTTCCGATCAATTCTCTGCCCTGGATTTCATATCTATTGTGCAGTACCAATCACTCATGTCCCTGGTCAATTCAGTTATTTATAACTCGAGCCTCTCTCCATCACTATTCTCTTTATTACTTTCTGCTCTTGTCTCACTGGCAAATGTCAGGCTGGCCGCCCCACACCCCCAAATAAAAAGGATCTTTGTGCGGGTTTCGAGAGAAACTTTGAGGGAATAAACAACATTGACGGTAATATTAATAGTAACCCTGGCCTTTTATCCAGTGCCTTCTGCAACACGAGGATGTTTCGAAGGGCTCAACTGGATTTTACGCTAAAGTAAAGTGTATTTTGAGTGCAGATGCGGCAGCCGGCTTACAACACAGCAATATCCCACAAATAGCCACAAAGTCAACGGTCGCTTTTCTGTAGGGGATTTTTTCTTGGAGAGTCACCCTAGACTGTAAACTCCAAATCCCTACGTGAGACATGGGGCTTGAACCCAGACACTTTGACTCAAGAGGCAAAGCATTGCCAACTGAGCCAGGCTGACATCTAATCAAGGATTACAAGGCTCCAAGTTATTGGACCAAAAAAAAATCCCTGTAATAGCTTTTCCTTACCTAGTGACAGTGCCTTACATTAGCTGCCCAGAGAATACAGTGAGGTTCGACACATTGCAGAACTCCAATTTACTGTTCTGTAAATGCTTTTTTTTGAGCCCCCGAAGTTTCAGAAAGGAGGGGGTGGGGGGGGGGGGGGGGGGTGGAGGGGGGGAACTGACTTCAGACACCAGCGTGGGAACCGCATTGAATATGTAGTCATCCAAATGAATTGCGTGAGTGAAATTATCCAATTAGTGCCAATTCGTGTCAAATTACAAAGGAGTTTTACGCTACTCACTTCTGTCTCCCAGGAGCTGTGTTGAGACTTCCCAAACGCTTGTCACCTGGGACTGTTAATAACCATGTTTCCAGAGTAGAAGGTCACCTCTCGTCTGTTTGATGGGGATTTAAAATGATGTTGTTTGGCAAATCTGGGCACAAGGCACTGTTTTCAAAAGGTTTTATTCTGTTTGTGTGGGAGAACCATCAAACGAGAGTTCTGACGAAAGGTCATCGACCTGAAATGTTAACTCGCTTTCCTCCCTCCATAGATGCTGCCTGACCTGCTGAGCGAGTGTTCCCAGCGACTTCTGTTTGTACCTCAGATTTCCAGCATCTGCAGTATTTCGCCTTTTGCTTCCTTGTTGCAGTTGTTCAGCAAAACTCTTCGTTGACTTTACTAAAGTAAAGCGGCCCCTAAAAAAAAATCCTTGCATTTGATTCGTCAGGAGGATGCACTCAAAGGGCTTCACGGGATTTACTGTACAGTGTAGTGACTGTGTATCTGTAGGAGAACACGGCTGTCCATTTGCACACTGAAATGTCCCACAAACAGCCACAAGATGAACGATCAATTTTATTTAGAAAGGATTGTTAGCCGGGTCTCCGGGAGAGAGAATTGTCCTGCACAATTGTGAGTGACCATTGGTGGCTTCCCTTCCAGCCATTACGCCCCAAACTCTGGAAAACCCTTCCTCTATCCCTCCGCCTTGCCCTTTCCTTCCCCATCTTCAGGTCACGCCTGAGGACCGTCCTCTTCGACCAGTACCT